TTTTTTGTACCAGGGATTGAACTCAGGACCTTACACTTGCCAGGCAGGTGCTTATGCCACTGAGCTCTCTCCCCAGCCCTACAGCCATATTTTAGCTTTTATTGTTTTTGTCTTTTTGCTAGTGGGAATCGAGCTCATGACCTTGCACTTGCCAGGCAGGCACTGAACCAGGCAGGCAAGCCCCTTTAGCTTCTGTTATTCAAACAAATCACTAAACACATTGAAGACTCACATTAAATTTATTACTGGCAAGAAGACAGACGCATAGACCCAGTGGAACAGAACTGAGAGGCCAGAAACAGGTCACTGGGCTGCGGCCAACTGATTTTCAAGAAAGCTGCCACGAGCACACGGGGGAAAGAGTAATGTCTTCAGTAAGCGAGGCCTGGAGAACGGAATACCCACATAGACAGAATGAAGCCAGAAGGCCGATGTGGAGGCACAGGCCTGGAACCCCAGCACCCGAGAGGCTGAGGCAGGAGGATCGCTGAGTTTGGAGCCAGCCAGGGCTACAAAGTGAGTTGAAGACCAGCCTGGACTACATAGTGAACCATGGCTCAAAAAGACAGGAAAAAAAAAAAAAAAAAAAAAGAAATTAGATACTCATCTCATACCACGCAGAAAAATACATTCTAATGTAATCAAAGTATATTACAGATGTAAAACCAGAAACTATAAAATCACTACAGCACTGGCAAGCGCAAGGGCCTGAGTTCAATCCCCGGTTCCACAAAATAAGTAAATAAATATAAAAATAAAGTCACTAGAGCAAACCTAGGGGAAAGACCCATGACCTTGGTCTTTGCAATGATTATTTTGGTGTGTGTATGTGGGGGGTTACCAGGAATTGAACTCTCGGCCTTGTGCTTGCCCATCAGGAACTGTGCCTATGAGCCATCTTCCCAGATCTAGGCAACAATATTTTTTTTGATACAACTGCAAAGGCACAGCAACCAAAACAATATAAATAAACCAATGAGACTACACCAACCTAAAAATTGTCTGCACAGCAAAGGAAGCAATCAGCAGAATGAAGCAAAAGCCCCCAGAACGAGAGAAAATACTGGAAATAATACGTCTAATAAAAGGCTAATATCCATATTTGATAATGAGAAAACAAATTACCAGATTTAAAAAAAAAATTGGTGAAGATGGGGCCAGTGAGAGAGCTCAGCGGACTAAAGCACCCGCTTAGGCAAGCTTAGTCAAGGGCAGGGACCGCGGTTCGATCCCCGGCACCACGTGCCATGCTAGCCCCACTTCCAGGATGGGCTGAGCTGGCCAGAGTACGGCGCAGTGGTGCACGCCTATAATCCCAGTGCTGGGGAGGCTGAAAGCAGGAGGATCACCACGAGTCCTAGCTGTGTGGGGAGACCCTGCAACAACCAAGTACATAAAAAAGAGAAAAAATTGGTAAAGAAAACACCCCAAAGCTCTAAATAGACATTTTCAAAAGAAGACAAAGTGTCCCTGGGTATAGGAAAAAGTGTTCAGTATCAGGGAAGTGGAAGTTACAGCCATCATGAGATGTCACCTCACAGCGTTCAAATGGTTACTGTTAAAAAATGAAAGCTAGAAAGTATTGGTAAGAATGTCGAGAGAGGGGAAATCCTGTACAAGCAGTATGAGAGAACACTGTATCCATGGGGGAAAGTGGTGTGCCCGGGCGCTCTTCTTTGGGGGTGAATCCAAGAGTAGGGGAGCTGCAGGCTGTACTTTCACGGTCACTACAATGTTATTCATGGCAGTCAGGGTCCACTGTGGGGAGAGGAATGAAGAAAAGGTGGTGCATTCACACGTAAGCCTTTAGAAAGAAAGAAATCCACTCACATGTGACACCTGCAGGATGCTACATTAAGTGGAAATAATCCAGGGACAGAAACACGAACACTACATGGTATCGCCTGTGAGGCGAGCCAGCCAGCCAAAGGACAAATGTCGTATGATTTCACTTATCGGAGGTCCCTGGAGCAGTCACACTCAGACAGATGGAGGGTAGTGTGGCAGTTGCCGAGGTACAGGGAAACGGGAAAGGGAGGCAGGGAGCTGTTTGTTGGGTTCAGAGTTTCAGTATCCGATGCTGGAGAATTCTGGAGCTGGATGGGCTGATGGCTGCCCACTGGCATGAATGTCCTAATGCCACCGCATCGTACCTTTAAAAGTGGCTGTAACAGTGAATTGTACCATTTACAATTTTAGAATTGTAAATGGTGTTTATCACAATTTTAAAATATAGTTCTCAATAGAAATAACTGAAGGCTCTCTCTCTCTCTCTCTCTCTCTCTCTCTCTCTCTCTCTCTCTCTCTCTCTTACTCTCTCACACATACACTCCACAGTTGCACATACACCTCTCAACAGATTTCTTGCCCCATCAATTTAACTTGAATGAACAGATTATTCTTAAATACCCAGGATTTGTACTACTGTATTACAAATTTGTTTTCCTAGCAATACATTTTCGGTTCTTTCTGATTCCACTTAACAAAAGGCCTACAGAATCATTTTATTATTTGGGTATTTGGAGATAATATATTTGATGGTTTTTTTGGAAAACCTTTTCACTCCATACTCAGATGTACTTCACTGTCAAATGCATACTTAGAGTTGATTCTTGAATTGTAATGATGATCTGCTGCTTTTTAAAAAATAAAATTTGACTAAAAATGTTCAAAAAAAAAAAAAAGAAAAGAAATAACTGAAGGGACGTGGAGCTGAAGCAGCGATTTCGTCGGGTGGGGGATTCTCCCCATCTTTATTCATTGTTCAGGGTGCCGTGATGGGGTTTTCCTCTTTCACTGAATTTTTACTCCCCTAGTGGGGTATAGGTGACAGAGGCTTTCAGCTCTGGTTCTCCCACTGTTCCTAAATCTTTCCGTTAGGACAGAACTTTCCGTACAACAGAAAATACCTGATTTTCGACTGTGGTGGGTTGAAGGAACAATGGAGCTGAAAGCATGAAACAGTTGAAAAACACAAATAGGTAGCTGTCTGCACCATATTCTTTTTCTTTTTTCTTTTCTTTTCTTTCTTTCTTTTTTTTTTTTTTTTTTTTTGGCAGAACTGGGGATTGAACTCAGGCCCTTGTGCTTGCCAGGTAAGTGCTTATTGTTCTGAGCCATCTCCCCGGCCCTGCACCATTTTCTATTGGGGTGGATTCTCTTTTGGCCAGAAGCCCTTCTGTTGAGTGAGTAAAAAGATCTACAGGTAATTTAATTACTGGAACCCTCTAGAACACTCTGGAATGTTCTATGCCAGGGGAGACTTACTCTCTACCCACTCTACACCTTAGAATCTTGAAGTAGGATCTCAATATTATCTGGCTTCAGATCCTAAAAATAGGATTCCATACCGGACTTCTAATGTGTTGAAGTTAAAATCTGGTTAGTAACTGTTTTGTTTTTAATGTAGAAGGAACACACCTTTTATCCCTGGTGTCCGGCACCTCTCTCTCGTGGCCCAAACTTCTACTGACAATGGTATTAAATCCATATTTTAAAAATCCATCTAAAAGCTCTGGATCTGAATAGTTAACATTCTCATCTGCAAGAAAAGATGACAGAGTCACGTAAGTAAAGGCTGACCAGAACCTCTACACAGAGCATATTCCTTTTTATAGTGGGGTCGAGTCGCTTTCCTGGGATCGACTCTACCCTGGACGAGATGGTTAAAGGTGGGATCGCAAAATATTTACACAAACCAAAGCAGACGTAAGCACTGCGTGGCATCCTCAGCACTAGCCTGACTGTCAACTGCAGCAGGAAATGGTCCTAACAGAGAAATAGAGGGCAGGTTGGGGTGGGGAGGTAGGGGGTGGGAGGATCAGCTGAAAGCCTCCTCCCACCTCTCATTAAAGGAAATAAAATGCTACAACAGGGGCTAACCCCTTCACAGTACTCATAACAGTAGATGAAGACCAGCAAAATTTCCCACCTACACACCTCTTAGGTAGGAATAAAAAACAGAACAGTTATTGAAGAGAAACCGAGAGTCAATATAACTCAAAGGCAAAGAATACTCAGAGGATCCAGGAGTCCGAATGCCATTCCAAGAAGTGCACGATTCACTGGAAGATGCAGAAAGTCCCTTTAGACTCACAGTGCAGATTTAATAGTAATGACATCAAATATGCTACAGCAAAACAAAGAAATACCAACAGGAACTGCCACAGGTAAACAGTGATGGAATAATTTTAGAACAGCTCTGAATTGAAGAAAAAGAGAACTTGAGGGCTGGGGAGATAGCTCAGTGGTATAAGTGCCTGCCTGGCAAGCTCAAGGTTCTGAGTTCGATCCCCTGTACCACCAAAAAGAAAAAGGAAAGCAGGAACTTGAGTGGTAGAACAAATTGCTTCCTTGGTGTGTGCATATTGCATTGTGTCTTCTGGTGTGTGTGTGCACATTTCCCCCTCAATGTCTAAGGAGTGTTTCTGCAAAACTGATAGCAAACCCTAGAAATAAAGGAGGATCTGGTCAAGATGGGGTAGCCCCAACCCTCCCAATTCCTGGCTCTTACAACGAATCTCAGCAGGGGCAGCAGAAGCCCCAGCTGGAGCCACCCGCAGGCACCAACCAGAATAAGCCCCAAGACAGCTCCTGGGAGCCGCCCTTACCCAGGAGCTACAAGAAGGGTGGCTCAGGGTGAGCCTTGGTGCATGCTCTACCTGCCACCCATCGCCCCAAGGAAGCCAACAGCTTCACGCCTCTCTCTGGCCTGTGAGGTCAGGGGGCTACGCAGGCCCAGGCTCCCACCATGCAGAAGCCATCATCCCCCGTTCACCTCCTGGTGGAGCGGGAAGCTGGTTCCCTAGGGCCTTGCCGGTGGAACAGGGGCTGCGCTGGCTCCCAGCAGGGTCACAGGCAGGCTGAGCCGGTGAGTCCGGGCCCAAGGGGACCTGCTCTTCTTCTGCCTGTCCTAAGCAAGGCAAGGTACACTCAGGGTGTGACTGGGTGGACCCAATAGGAAGCCGGACACACACACACACTCACAAGATCCTTGGGCTGTGTCTCAACAGGGGGACTCCATACTGGAAGAGAAGCTGGTGTAGGATGTGGCCTCATGCTTTCTCAAATGCCCATCATCACCCAGGGAAAGTCATCTGTGACAGTCAAGACCAGGAAGATCTCTGAGTAAAGCTAAGAACCAATCAGCGTGCCCTCCTTGGAAGGGTGAAGTGTGTGGCTGCGTGTTAGCCCTTCCGGGTCAGAAATACAAACTCTTTCCATGCTGTTGGGCTAATGCTACAGAGCCGGGAATGGTGGCTCACACCTGTAATCTCAGCACTCGGGACGCTGAGGCAGGAGGATTGTTGTGATCTGGGCTACAAAGTGAACTCAAGACCAGCCTGAACTAATAGTGATTTTTTAATTTTATTTTATGTATTTAGTACAGAGTCTACAGGGTCTTACTACCCAGATCGGACTCGTAGTGATTCTTTTGTTTTCAGCCTCCCAAGCATTGGGATTATAGGCGCACACCACCACGCCCAGTCTCTTTTGCGGTCTCAGCATGCCCCCCTGGTGGGGGTGGGGGTCAGCACCGCATGGCGGGGATCAAACCCCAGCCACTGCACTCTGCCTAAGCAGGCGCTTTAGTCCACTGAGCTATCTGGCCGGCCCTTGAACTGCATATTGAGATTGTCTCAAAAAGACAAAAAAATCATTAAAGATAAATACTGCAAACACATAGAAGAAAATAGGATGGAAATACAAGTTTAACAAAGAAACAAATGGAAATCATAGAACTAAAAAGTACAGCAATCTAAGTGAACATGCTGGATGTGTGACGGAGCAGCGCGGTAAGTACTCCAAGGAATGGTGCCCGAAAGCTCCCTGCATTTGATGAAAGGTGAAAATCTACGGATCTGAGAGGCTGGGCAGACTCTTCCATAGGTCTGATTGAACTTCTGAGAGGTGAAGGCAAAGAGATGATTCATTCCAAGCACCGAGAGAAAAGAGCAGTCATGAGCAAATTCCACACTGCTATGGTTTGTGTCTAGTTGTCCCCCCAAAGCCTCATGTAGGTCATGGAGTAGACCCAGCTGGAGAAGCAGCGAGAGGCTTGAGGGGCGGGGCCAGAGGACCAGGGTGGGGCCAGAGGGGCGGGGCCACGGGGCGGGGCCTGAGGGTGGGACCAGAGGGGTGGGGCCAGAGGACCAGGGTGGTGCCAGAGGGGCGGAGCCATGGGGGCGGGGCCAGAGGAAGGGCAGGGCCCGAGGGGTGTGGCCAGAGGGGCGTGAACCGTTAAACTGGCAGCCTGCGCTTTCTCAGAGATGCTCAGAGGGTCGTCCTGGACACGGCAGCGCCCAGCCTCTCCTCCAGTGTCTTGAAACTTCCAGGAACTGTGAGCTAAATAAACCTTTCCTTCCCTCATTTTGAGGGTCGGGTATTTGTTCCAGCAATGAGAGAAGAGTAACTAAGACACACACCCAGCAAAAATATCCTCCAGGAAGTACAGGAACACAAGAAAGCTCTCAGATGAAGGAAAGTAAGATTTGCCACTGGGAAGCCCACCTTTAAAGAATTTTTATACCAAAGGTCAGAAGACAGTGCTGTACAAAATGACAAAGAGAAGGAGCAAAATGCATTCTCAGGCTCTGAGCCCACCCAGAACAAATGCAAGAGACAACAGCATAGAACTTGGAAAGCACACACCTGAAATCTCTGAAATAATAGCGTCAGAAGTAAAGAAACAACTGCAGAGAGGTATAGAGGAAATCAGATCAGAAATAATTTCTGAAGTAAAGAAATGATAGCTATAATTTCTTTAAATACTTATTGCCTACCTCTTTCTATCTTGGGAATTTTTTTTTTTTCGGAACCGGGATTGAACTCAGGCCCTTGCACTTGCCAGGCAAGTGCTTATTCTACTAAGCTATCTCCCTGGCTTCTTACTTTGGCAATTCTATATGAATGTAAGTGTTTTGAATTTGGCACAAATGAATTATTATATGATGGATCTGTAAATTCTTCCTTTTTCATTTTTATTTTGGACAATTTTTATTCATTTAAGTTTGTGAACAATTTATTTACAATGTGCGCTCTAAAAAAAAACAAAGAAATTCTCAAAGGAAATATAAAAATACACAAAACAGAATGGACATGAAAATTCAACACATCAAAACATGTACCAAAAAACCATGTATGATATAATATTAAGAAGATGTTAATATTTCCCAAATTAATCTATGGGTCCAATGCAGTTCCACTCAAAATACCAGTACAAGGGCCGGCCAAATAGCTCAGCGGATTAAAATGCCTGCAAGCAGGTACAGGGGCTAGGGCTTTGATCCCTGGTCCTGCCATGCTGGCCCTGCCCCCAGGGCACACTGAAACAGCAATGGAGCCTGGGCCTGGCAGCGCCCCAGCTCTTGGGAGGCTGTAAGCAGGCGGATCACTACAAGTCCGATCTAGTAGTGAGACCCTGAACACCCTGTAGACCCTTCCCTAAAATACAAAAAAAAAAAAAAGGTTTTTTTGGGAGCAGAAAACAAAATTTGTTTCTAGAGATATACAGACAAACAAAAGACTAGAATAAGCAAAACATCTTTAAAAAGGAACCGGTATAGAGTTTAGAAGTAGAGTCACACAAAAGTGGTTGTTTGCTGGAAAAATGGTCAAGGCTGGAAAAGGGTTGTCTTAGTTACTTCCTCACTGCCAAGATAAAATATCCAAGGCCCACAAGTTAAAGGAGGAAAAAGTACATGCTAGCTCCCAGTCTGTAAGTGCTTAGCTGACAGTCGGCTGGCGCAAGGTGGGCAGAGAGACAGTCCACAGCAGGGTGGGCAAGAAGCCACGGGGCTTCCTTTTTCCCTTCTTCTTCCATCTGGGCTACAAGTCTGTTGGTGAGGGCACCACGCCTAGAGAGGATCTTTCTCTTTATAAATCCATCATCCTTAACCAGGTCTACGCTAAACCATTAGTCAGTGGCCTAATCCAATACCACATCACCATGATCCCGTATGTCGTTCCCAAAAGCCTCGTCTACAAGCACACAAAGCTGTGGGCACCCGGATACACGCTGCAGCAGCGGGAGGGGCGTGAACAAATTGTCGTGGGTCGTCTGGATGCCCTCGAGGTAGAAATGAAAGGGAGTCCCAACCTCACATCATCCACTGATCATGATCCTAACATAAAACATTTTTGAATTTCTAAAAATAAACAGAACAACATTTTTTTCAACTTGGGTTAGGGAAAATCTTCTTAAATAGAACAAAAAATACGAATTATACAAAATGATGTAAGACGATCATAATCAAATTTTAAAATTGTGGCCGGGTGTGGTGTGCACAGCTGTACTTCAGCACTCAGGAGGCTGAGGTAGGAGGAACACCTTGAGATTGACACAAGCCTGGGCTACATAGTTATTTGAAAATCATCCTGAAGTACACAGTGAGAGCCTGTCTGAAAAAAAAATTTTTTTTTCTAGGCATAGTGGCATGCACCTATAATCCCAGAACTCAGGAGGCTGAAGCAGGAGGATTTCTTTGAATTCCTAAGCCACACAGTGAATTCAATACCACCCTGGATTACACAACAAGACCGTCTGAAAAAAAATTAAAAAATCAATCAGTCAATCAACTGAAGTGGCAAGGTTACTTTGGAAAACTCCTTTTCATTTTTTTTCACAGATCCTTTACCCTAGCCATGCCACAGTTAAATATTCACCTTAGAAACAAAATAACGTCCAGCAGCATTATGTTTTTTATTTTTTTGTATTTTAGGGAAGGGTCCCCAGGGTGTTCAGGGTCTCACTACTAGATTGGATTTGTAGTAATCTGTCTGTTTACAGCCTCCCAAGAGCTGGGATTACAGGCGCCTGACACCAGCACTCTCAACTGCCATCTCAGCACGCCCCAGAGATGGAACCCCTGGCCCCTGCACAGCATTATGTTTAGCAGCAAAAAGCTGGAAACAACAAGTGAAGGGGCCAGGGAGATGGCTCAGTAGAATAAACGCTTGCCTGGCAAACACAAGGGCCTGAGTTCAATCCCCGGTTCCGAAAAAAAAAAAACAAAAAACAAAAAACAAAAAACAAAAAAAAACAAGTGAAGTGACACATAATGTGTGGGAATTTCTATTTCTCCATGACGAAATAGAATGAAATTGCAGAGCAGCAGGACTCTCAGAATAATTAGTCTAACTGAAAATACAAGTCAAGCAAGGACATGGTGGCGCACCCCTGTAATCCCAGCACTCCGGAGGCTGAGGCAGGAGGATCGTTGCAAGTTCAAGACCAGCGTGGGCTACAAAGTGAGCTCAAGGCCAGCCTGAACTGCAAAGGGAGACCCTGCCTCAAAAAAGACCTAAATAAATAAATAAATAAACAAATGCCAGGCAAGCTGGGCATGGTGGCACATGTCTGTAATCCCAGCATGTGGGAGGCTGAGGCAGGAAGATCGTGAGTTTGAGATCAGCCTGGATGAATTGGTTAGAACCTGTCCCAAAATAAAAAAATATAAAAACCAAAAAAGATGGATTTTCCCCTGGGCTCGATCCCCAGTACCACAATGTAAATCAATACTAACATTCTAAGACATCCTTTTATGATGCTTATGTCTCAGAAAGCAATCAGAAAAACCAGTCTTCCAAGGGGAAACATTTAGAACTTGGAGGCCAAGTTATAACCTGAAAAAGATTTTTTTTTTTTTTTAAAGTTCTGGCAGTTTTTCAGAATAAAAGAAACTGTTCCCATGTCAAAGATGAGGTTTAAAAAAATCCCAGTAGGAATGTAGAGGTTTTGGTTCTGAGCTATTCGGGAGAGTCGCAGGTCAAGTGCCCACACAACGTGGGGTGCTGTGGGGCTCATGCACAGGCATTCAGCTTCTTGTCCAGTGTCACTTTACCCCTTTTTTGTTGCACAGGTGACCTGGGAGGCAACACTCTGTCATCAGCTCTGCCTTTCGGGGAACGTGAAACAGGATCAGCAAGAATAATAAAGCATGCAATTACCAGGGGAATAGATTGTCTAATTCAGTCCTTTAGCGAGGAAGCACTTTCTCAATCTGAGCGACTTGTCTATTGGTATAAAACTTCCAATTTGATAAAAACTGAGCTCAGAAGCTGGGAATGGTGGCACGCACCCATAATCCTAGCACTCAGGAGGCTGAAGCAGGAGGGTTGTCTCGAGTTGGAGGCCAGCCTGGGTAACAGTGAGTTCAAAGCCAGCCTGAATTACACAATGGGACCCTGTCTAAAAAAGAAAGAAAGAAAGAAAGAAAGAAAGAAAGAAAGAAAGAAAGAAAGAAAGAAAGAAGAAACAAAAAGCCCACAGCAGAGCTCAGAGAGGACACCCCGCGGGCAAAGCGCCCTCCACAGCTGCAGGCAGAGGAGGGACACGGCCCGCACGGCTGAGTGCAGAGCCAGCCGGGCGCCAGGCAGAGGAGATGCACGGGAGACGAAAGGTCCCGCGCCCCGGTGCGGACAGGCAAGTTGAAACGCACGCTGACTGCTGTGAGAGGAGTGGTTATCCCAGTAGACAGGAATTTACCATTTCTATTAACAGTCTTTAAAAACGGCATATAAAGGCCGGGGAGATGGCTCAGTAGAATAAGCACTTGCCTGGCAAGCACAAGGGCCTGAGTTCAATCCTCACTTCTGCCAAAAATAAAAAATAAAAAATAAATGGCATGTAAAAAAATAAAAATAAAAATGGCCTATTCCCCATTCTGCTGCTCTCCATTTCTAGGAATGAGATGTGGCTAAAAAATACAGTGAATGCTTGAATTTTAAAAACGCATTACACTCACACACACACAGGGCCAGCAGCCACCCCAGACCGCGTCCCCGACTTGGAGCTCGCTCTATCCTACCACTTTCTGAAGCAGCTTGAGAGCCCTCTTTCCTGGGGGTACTTAGATGTGCCTTTCTCGATGTCCCATATGGGTTCAAAACTGACCTCTCCTGGTCATTTTGATTTTGGGGAAGCTCCAGATGTCGCACCGGGCCCAATCTGGTGAACAAGGCGAACGAGGACACACGTTCTCACCAGCCTGCCTTGCAGCTGGACGGCACTCAGCAGCAGCACTCATAGTATTTCTAAAAATTTTTATAGTTTTAAATTTCATTTAGCTTATACATCTTGTACAGGGTTTCCTTACACAGCCGAGACTCATAGTGATCCTCTTGTTTTCAGCCTCCCCAGCGCTGGGACTACAGGCGGGCACCACCATGCCTGGTCTCGGTGGCCGGCTCAGCGCGCCCGGGGTTGGGGTGGCACAGCATGTGGTGTCGGGGATCAAACCCCGAGGTCTGTGTCTGCCTAAGCAGGCACTTAGTCTGCTGGGCTAGCTTACCGGCCCTCACTGTATTTTTCAATCACTCCTAATGACACTCATTAAAAAGAGGAGCTCCAGAACTGCTTCAGAAAGCAGCAGGAATGATGGGGTAAACGTGCTCTGCAAAGAATTGGATAGAGTCACTCTCTACAAGTGCTAAAGATGGAGGCAGACTGGTATGTAGTTAGCTGAAAACAGTGCTGCAAGAGAAGGCAAATCACGTAGGGAGAAGCTGGCAGCAGCAACTGAAGCATCTACCTCCTTAAGGGGGGAAAGGGAAGACCTTCTTTGCCGCCTGTGCATGTGTGTGTGAGGGCCAACCTTGACGCCCATGTCTCATGTTTTGGTTTGTGTTAAGCATTTCTCAAGAATGCTTGCAAGTAAATGATATCCTTACACTATTAGACGTATTTCCAAGGTAGAGACAGTGGTTCTCATCCTTTGACTCCACCACCAGCCACTGCCACAACTGAGGCTTCCTCCTGACAGCCCCGGGCAGGGCTCAGGCCATAGGCGGGAGCCGGAGCTCCGGACACACACGGCCTCTGGGGCTGGCCGGGCTGCCACCAGCCAGCCGAGCGAGCGCTGTGTCATTGGGACAAGAAGCAGGGTCTGGTCACGCCCATACAGCCACCCTGGGGGCCTCCTGTGGGTTGTTTGCTTTGTTCTGTTTTTCTTTTTCTTTTTCTTGCTTCTGTCATCATCTGAGTGGCTCCCCAGGGGCCACTCGGACTCACACGCAAGTGGCACTCAGGGCAGGGCAGGGCCCAGCAGAGCTAGATCTGATGCTTGATTTCTGCTCCTTACTATTCTCGTTTGTCTTTCTTCTTTCTTTTGGCCTGCTTTTGTTGAACTAGGTGTTCCTGTCTTTACACAGAGGCCTTCAAACATCATGAGTAGAAAAAGCAAGCTCAAGAAGGATGTGGAATGCAGATAAATCCACAATATCAGATTTTGTTCAGGGAAGACCCACAGAGGAAGTGGAGAGGGTACACTGGCACCAAGACAGGCAGCAGCTTGCCTGTGAGGCTGGAGGGGCAGTCTGTAGCTGTTAAATGTTACTTTTTGGAAAAACAAAAAAACTATCTAAAGCAAACATGGAAGCCCTATTTCATTTTATCTTATTTTTGGGGGTGGTACCAGGGATCAAACTCAGGTGCTTGCACTTGTCAGGCAAGCACTTATTCCGCTGAACTAGCTCCACAGCCCACAAGCCCTATTTTAAATAAACGATGTATGTGGTGGTGCCCGCCTGTAATCCCAGTACTTGAGAGGCTGAGGCAGGAGGATCGCTGTGAGTTTACAACCAACCTGGATTACCTAGTGAGTTCAAGGTCACTGGTAACCCTGGACCATGTAGCAAGACTATGTTTAAGAAAAGAAAGCAAAAGGTGAAATTTGAGTGGTAAGTGCATATATATATATATATATATATATATAATTTATTTTTTACTATTTTTGGTTTATAAAGAAATATCTCTATGTACGTGAAGCATTTCATTCTCTTACTCTTCCAAGTATTGACTGCACTTCCCTAGCTCTAGAAGGGCTAGCAGCGGAAACAAGTACTTACTTGAGGGAGAAAACTGCTTCCCGGGCGCCGCCGCCTGCTCCTCCTCCTCGGCCTCGGCTGCGATGAGGCGCGCCGTGCCTAGCTCCTCCGCAGCATAGATAACACGCTGGTGTGCGTGGGACGGAGCCGATGGCGGCTCCGCGTGGGCTTTCTTGAGCGGGCTCCTCACGTGCCCGTGGTGAAAATACACGAAGAACAGAGCTGTCCAGATGACAAATATCAAAGACCCATAGAATAAATACTGAAGAACGTTACATTGCATGGTAGCCTAACTTTCTGAGGTCCGGTTTTCGACTTCCTGAAGCAGAATGGTTTAAGAGAAGCAGGGTTAGGCATTTCTATGATTTACAAATACGGGCTTGCCTTAAGTTCAGTTCTAAATGTGCTAAAAACATCACTTTGGTAGCAGTCCTGTATATCTCTTTACTATCAGCAAAACTCTCAAAACTGATATGTATAAGGTGACTTATCATCCAGATAAAACAATGCATTTAGTGTCACTTAGGGGCCGGGGAGACAGCTCAGTAGAATAAGCGCTTGTCTGGCAAGTGCAAGGGCCAGAGTTCAATCCCCGGTTCCACCAAAAACAAAACAAAGTGTCACTTAACCCCTTGCTCCCAGTCCTGAGTACCGAGCTTGAGGAAACAGTGTGCAGAAGGCTTACCTCAGCCTGGGATGCTCCCAGCCCATGTGGGAGAGTTATAGGGGTTTTCAAAAGTCTGATGGGAACATTTAGTGCTCTCTGTCTTTTCCCCTTCCACCTCCTGAACAACGGCACTTGGTTCCCTGCTTTTGACCTTGAACTTGCTGGGGGAGGGGGAGGAGCTGACAACAAGCTTGTACACCGCCCTGAGTTTAGGGGACACGCAGATGGCTGCCCAGCACCCAGCACCCAGGAAGGCTCCAGGGCATCAAAACATCCACACAAAGACCTTGACCCCACAGACAGGAGCCCGCCTGGGTCTCCACACTGCCCTGCTCTGCCCTGCCCTGCCCTGCCTGGGAACCTCCCCCAGATCAACTGCTTGGGTCACTTCCTGGCAGGCAAAGTGCAGACCCCAGGGATTGACAGACCCAGCCTTGGCCAGCCCTGCAGGGCCCATCCTGAGGGTGCATAGGCCTGGGGAGGAACATGGAGGCTTGGGGAGAGAGGCTTGATCCCAGGGCACACGGTTTACACCCAGCAAAGATCCCGGATGATGGTGACAGCTCATTGACCAAAGGAAAAACATTTTACAAAGGAAATATTTGATTTTTCACATAAAAATATCAAATGTATAAGAGAAGAAGATAATTTTTAATTTGGGAACATGACATTAAAACAACCAAGAGCTGGGGGTGTAGCTCCATGGGCTTGTGTAGTTGGAGTCAAGCCCTGGGTTTGGTCCCCAGCACCCCACCTCTAAACGAACAAACAAGTAAATGATGTTGTTTTAATTTATAATATCACCATATCTTCCTATGAAACATCTAAATTTTAAGAGACTTCTGAGTTAACTTTCTCTACCCCTGCAATAGAAACTAGTTAGAGGGAAAATAATTAATGGGAAGCAATAATATCTAATATGCTAAGTCTACACTTGCATTTATATACTAGAATTATTACATTAAAAATCCATATTCTTTCTAAGGATTCTAATATATTAAGAGAACTTGCGGAAAATTCTCGAGACAAACATACAAAAACCTGCTCTGCTCTTGTTTTATCTTTTTTTTTTTTTTTTACAGTACTGGGGATTGAACTCTGGCCCTTGTGCTTGCCAGGCAAGTGCTTATTCTACTGAGCCATCTCCCCAGCCCTGCTTTTCTTGTTTTACTGGTACACTCTTACGTTACTCCTTCATGTTTCCATCGCACTGTCTTGAAGCAGAGCCTGCTTGCCTAGCTCTCTGGGATATGCAGCTCCCCTCCGCCCCCAGCCCTCGCGCTCCACAAACCAGGAAAACCCCTGCACCTGGAGAGAGGTGAAGGGACCGCGAGCAGCTGTTCCACCCTGTACCCTTAGAAGAAGACCGGGCTCGGTTACTTTTCTTCACTAGAATGTGCTGAGCTCACGATGCGCAAGAACGTGGGACTCATGTGCAAGTCATGTTTCCCTGGAGATTTGTGTGCACAGCAAAGCAACATCTGCATGCAGAGAGGCCTAGAGGAATCCTTAAAGAGAAAAGGCAGCTAAAAATCATCCACAGCACACACACACACACACATACACACCCATGTTCGCAAGCATGCATGCAAATGTACACGCCCCAAAGCATAAATCTGGGTTTATTGTCATTGAGTTTGTTTTAAAACATGAAGCTTTAAAGTCAGGACAGTATGACCTTACTTTAGAGAATGTCATGGGTAATTTTTCGTAAATAATCAGTATTTTTAAGACATGTTCTTAGCTCGTGTGTGCAGTACAAAATGTCTGTATTTCTCGGTGAGTGGGTCACATTGTGCGCAGGTCACATCTCAGTTCCTTTCCAATCTTCTTTCCTCCCTCCCTTCCCTCTCACTCCAGCTCCTGACTCCCTTCCTGTTTAACAAAGACCTAATCAGAAGGGAGTTGGGGCTACACCCTCTTGTAAAATAAAGTTTCCATCCTAATCCCCAGAGTCAGGATCCCACTTAGCCCCAGGCATGTGTCACACATCTTCTTCCACTGACCCTGGGTGAAAGGGCTTCCCAGCACCGGGGCCCCCACTTGCTAGCACACTGGGCCCCACACCTACCCCCAGGGTTGCTGCGTCCTGTATTTGCAGGCAGAGTTAGGTGGGGTCTGTGTGGAGGAACTGAATGAGGCACTGTTTGCCTGGATGGCAAGATTTTAGGGCGCTGGACTGTGCTGGCTCCCCCTCCCCACAGGTGCCTCACAAAGCCCGGTGACATCACACAGGGCATCCCAAGGTCTCTGAGGCCCCTCTCTTACAAGCCCCAACCAGAAGCCAGACTCCAGAAGTCCTAGAGTTCTGAGGGGCCTTCCAAAACACCCCCGAGTCCTTACTCCTCAGCTGGGGAAGTCGACAAAGCCTTGTGGCTGTTAAGGTCAGAACGCAGGGCAATTCCCTTCACAGGCTAGCTCTCATGTTAGCTGTTGTGAAATAAACTTAAGAAAAACGACATTTCTGGGCCTTTCGGTCCTCTCCTGCGTGAGAGCAGACTGGGGGCCCTGAGCTCAGTAATAACAGGCTTTCCAAATTCCAATCTGGCTGATCTGATTCCTATTCTGAGTGACCCATAACATTTGGGGACTCGTCCGGGATCCCCTTTACCGGGGATCCATCTGAGGAACCAGAGTTTTCGAAAACCATTTCTCTGGGGAGACTTTCTGGCCCCAGGGTGGTCTCCGAAAACTTAGAAATTTCATCATTTGAACCTCTGAGCCGCCTGTAAGTTCTTACCGGTAAGACATCTGTATCTGTTCTGTTCGGGTGCCCCACTGGGAGTCCTAGGCGGTGTTAGACGTAACGATAGCCCCTGGACTCGACTCCATCCGTGACGACGGATCGGAGTCTCGGATCTGTTTTTGTTTTGTTTTTGTGTGTTTTGGCCAATTGTCGTTTGTCTAATATTTGTGTGTCAATGTGCTTCTGTTTCTGTGTCTTTGTTGCCCCTATAATGTTTTCTAAATAATTTTCAAGATTTCAGACAATGAGCCTCAGAGTACGGACTCTGTGTCCCCCAGAAAACGTTGGACCTTCTCCGAATTGGAATGGCCCTCCTTCTCCTAGGCTGCTTGGTCTCTGCAGGGCTCTTTTAACCTTTCTTTTGCTTATCGAGTCTAGAGAGTCATCTTTGGAAATCTGAGACACCCTGACCAGCTCCCTTACATTGGGGGAGCTTGGATTGATCTTGGCCATGAACCTCTGAAATGGCTCAAGGTTTGCTGTTCCAGACACTGTCCCCAGAAGACCAGCCAGTCCCACATGGTCGCACCAGCAGTTCCAACTGATAAGATGCGGCTGTGACCTCTGACCATCACCCTCAGGACCCGCTTATCCTGCCTGCCACCCGGTACAGATAAATTCATTATGCAGTTGTTAAAATATTGGTCAAAATGTGTTGGTAAATCTAAGCTAAAACATGGAAATGTTATAAGGTTATGATGCTTCTTTAATGGGACATTTTATGACTGTTTGGTATTTGTATATGATGCATTCGAACTGGTTGCTAAATGTACTCATATTCCTTGCTTGACTTTAGACATTAGCACTAGAGAAAATATTTGTAACCTTCTAGTAAATTTTATGTAAATTTCTGAAAAATGGGATCACTCCTTCAGAAATTAGGCTGAGGCAGCGTACAATAGTTTACATCCTACAGTGGCTGTCAAGGAAATAATTTACATTTGTGTGTTACACATTAAGAGTAAAGAGATTTTTGTCAGCCTTAAAGTAATGTATTTTACAAATATGTAAAATTTGATTGCTAGATGATAAATAAAGGTTTCACCTGTGAGCTTCAAGTTTAAATCTTGTCCAGTTGCTAAACCTGTTTACCTAGGTGATTAGGTGAAAAACACAAGTTTCTGGAGACTTGGCTGGCTCAGTGCACGGGGCCAAATCCTGCCAATTGCTCTATCTATCTCTAGAAGAGACTTTTGTAGCCTAAAAAGTGCTTACTTCAAATTGACCTTTTAATGCAATGGTTATGCTTCCTTCTGTAAGACTCCTGTCACCAGACCAGTAGTCTTATGTTCAGATTTTGTTTGCCTTAAGAAAGTCATTCTAGTTTTGAAATGTAAATGTGGGCTACAGGACAACCAGACAGTTCAGGAGCCTAAGGCTGCTGCTTCCTGACCTTGGGAGCCTAAGCATAAGATAGCCTTAATCATAGCCTTGCCCACCCTTACTGGAAGTAAGGTTTTCCCTATTTGCATTTTAAAAGGATGGGCTTCTAAAACAGCTGTAATACAAGGCTACACCCATCCTTAGCTGAGTTTATGCAAAGATAATATCTTTTAAAGAAGTAAAAAGACAGTTTAAGTTTAGAACTTGCAGTTTATGTGCCTTTTTCTCTGTGACCTAAAACAGATGTCAGATTTAAAAACTCTTTAATGACCCTGATAAGTACATTGATGTCTTTAGAGGATTTATTCAGATTTATGAACTAGATTGGAAAGATGTAATGTTAATCTGAAACCAAGCTTTGACTTCTATGAAAAGGTAGGCAACATTACAAGCTGATATTTCATTTGGAAATAAATGTCATATTGTTAATTTTAAACAACCAGAAAATAGACAGCCAGTCTATCTTGGTTTAGCTGTGACAGGAACTACCTGCTCCCACTGGAGCCCAAGCAGTCAGACCCCTGCTGGCCTAATAGCCAGGCAGGAGATTGTAATAAAAATATTTTCTATATGTATTCTTGAAGGTCTAAAAAGAACTAAAACCAAGCCTTCAGTTATTAAATTTCAGCTGTTTACCAGAAAAAAGATAAACACCCCTCTGATTTCTTAAAGTTTAGTGAGAAACTGGTAAACATACTTCCTGAGATGCTAATTCAGTAGAGAGACAGATTACTCTTATAGATAAGTTCATTACTTAGTCAGCTCCAGATAATAGAAAAGAGCTAAAAAGATAGTGTTTTCTCCAGACAACTCACTTGATACTTTATAGGACACTAAGGAGAAAATGTTCTATAATCAGAACTGGGAGAAAACAAGGGAGAAAAAACAAAGAGATCAAAAATGGCTGCCTTTGTTGTGGC